GTGAAAAATAATGCGTTTTTCGAACCACCAAGCATGAGAGCATGTTCTAGTACACCCCCAAAACAAAATCAAGACTTTGTAAAAGAGCATAATAGGACCCCTTTAAAAGCAGCCCATGATCAGCGTATTATGTTACCGTTATCCCTTACGGCTCCGACGAGGTTTTGTTCCGTCCTCCACGCTGTGATAACTCACAAAAGACTATTTTTAGCCAAGCAGCACGGAGAGCCGCTTCAGAAACGTGCCGCGGCTGGCCGGTATAAACAAGCATTAGAGCGGCCGCCATCAGCTCCGGTTCCCGTGGAGCCGTGACGACGCGCCGCAGACGCGTGCAGTGAGGCGCAGATCCACTCTAACGTCACTGAATCTGCTGTTAAAAATGAACCATCTATTCATCATATCATCATGCAAAACATACACGACAAATAGCGAATTTTTTATTGTTTCTCGAAACGTCATAGCATTTCCACACCGGCGATGACATGACCGCGGCGCCACATCATGTACGTCGTCACGCGTTGATGTCATCAAATTGCGATCGGTCCGTGAAATCGGCCAAGCTAGTGAGTACCGATCGAGTCATAAAATGTGATTATCGGCCGATACCGATCTCCGGCCGATCGATCAGAGCATCCCTAGTAAAAACTACTAGCAGCAGACTACTTGGATCACCACAAAAAAAAAAAAAATTCACCCAGAATCTCGTCAAAGATCTTGTAGAGTCCTGGGACATACGTGATGTCTCTGCAGTTCATTCCCATATCCTCATCAAACACCCACATTTGCTAAACAGGAAAGAGAAAGCGAAGAAACATTGGGTTATTCTACAGTTGTGACGGCACTGCCATCTGAAAACATTTAAATTACTTTCAAGAAATGAGTTGGCCAGGTTCTTGACAGAATGAAAGACTTAAACTCTTAATTCTGTTATTTTTTTAAGTATAGTTCAGTATGAATTCTTGCCTTAATAAAATGAGTGACCACTTTAGAATAACCATTGATTCTACTGCTGTATTAATGAAACATGTCATGGGCAGTATGCATTATTCATAAACAGGGGGTGCCAGTGGCCCTGATAAATGGCAGATGTGGAAGATCTCTACCTGAGTAACAGGCTCCACAGAGCCTATGTAGGTGTCAGGCCGGAGCAGAATATGCTCCAGCTGGGTCTTCTTCTGATAGATCCTTTCCACAGACAGACGCTTGTCATCTTTCTTGGCCTTATTGAGAGCCTTATTCTCAAACAAACTCTGAAAAAAAAAAAAAAAGACACAAAAACAATGTTACAGCAAATAAGAAGCAAGGTAAGATTGCTAAAAGTCGAGACATAGATGATGGATTCGGTTTTATGACTACAACCAGTCCAATGATTTTCTGCTTTATACTATGTTGTGTATAGTATACTTTTTTTTTTTTTTTACACACACACATTTGATAAAGTTTAATGTTAAAGATTTTTTTTCCCCTTCATAGTGTGATTTTTGGATTTAATTAAATTACGGTCACTTTGACCCCCCTTCATAAAATGAGCCAGAGATTTTGAAAATGGAAGGCTTAAGAGGTGTTATGGTGAAGGCCAGTCTTAATCTATAAAGCATTTTGGACTAAATTTGCATGGCGCCATCAATATTGTGGACAATTTACTAAAACAGATAACAGGCATCTCCAAAATGTTACCGGTCAACTTTCAGAAGTACACTGCTAACCTCAATGCTAACAGACATGACAGACTACAGCCACAGTTTGCAAATCTAAGTGAAAAAAATAAAGCGTCACTTTCTCTTTCTGCTTTTGTTAACACGTGTGACCAACACCACGTTACAAGTATATTGTAACAACAGCATGGAACTGTAGCGGAAATGATGGTTACCATGGTAACTTTCTCCAAGGGTGATGAATCAGTTTTATTTTACTCGTTACTAAGATTTGAATTCCAAACGGCTTTTTTGCGCCCTTGAAGGGCACGCCATTTGTAGGAACAACTTCACGAAGGAACCTTCCAGAAGTCCGTTAGCTTGAAGGGAACATGCGATGGTCACTTCACGGAAGTGATTTCAGTTTGTGATCATGTGATCTTCGGTTAAGAGTTCTTGCGATGCTTTTTTATATAAACGTAAATAGAATAGGCTAATTAAATTAGTCTATTTTAATGCAAGAAAATATTATTCGTCAGTGACAGAAATATGAATTAAGATGGTAGTGCAAGCACGTTTAGTTTGAAAAAGTTTAAAAGTAAATAAGACAATTAGACAATATTTGAATAAAATAAGAAATGCTTATTTGCAACAACTGATGGAGTGCTGAATGCTGCACGCACGCGCAGCGTTGTCAAGGTAGAAGAAGTTCCAAACGCTCGCCCTCATTACACAATGTAATACAAAATGTGCCCTACACTAAAAAAAACTATGTGTAACGTTAGTGTTAACGTTACACAACGCAGTACAAAACACGTTCGCTTGTGTCCAACGTCAACATATTTCAACTAATCCCGGCAAAAGTATGACCCATATATAATGATAGCCGTGTAGTATACTAACGTTAGAGTAAAACACTTAATATTTCAACCCTAAACTAACTACTTCTATTTAAGTACTTGAACAATAAGAACAAATAGACAAAATGACTGTATCACACAGAAATATCATGTAACGTTATTCGTTCAACTAATGTTTTTCATACATAATACATGAACACGGATTATACATCATTAAAGGTCCCGTTCTTTTGAAAATGATGTTGTATAAATTAACTTACCTTCAGAGGTCCTTCTGTTCCAGCCATTTTTACTGTTTACCTCTTTCACGAAGCAAATTAAACTAAAATACAAACAGATCTGCCTTCAACTGTAACAAATCACTGGCCCTCCTAAATTACAGAAGATGCTTCAAACTATCTGAATTAAACTTATGAACGCATGAACTAATTCACTGACACGCGTGCGACTGCAAACCACAGAGCAACAATAACCGACTTTCAAATTTCAAATCACACATATGTCCTCCCGCCAAGGACGCTGGCCAATCACTGTCAGGAGTGGGTTGGGTTGTGGTGTTCTCAACCAATGGCGTTACAGATTTTGAGCAGCGACTCGCCTAACTTCATAGGTCCAATAACATAGGCGCTAAAACTCGTTAAGCCAATGAGATTTTTGTTCCGGTCTCTCTCACGGTCAAACGGTCAAAACATTTTATCAACAAACAGAAAAATGTTTGCGTTGTTGTCATTATGTTTCTGTGAATGGCATAAAATACACTGAGACAAGGATCACTCTCAAAGAATGAGAGTTTGATGCTGAAATGTACTAAATCCTATTTAAATGTCTATAACGTTTATTCTTAATTTCTTCTTAAAATTATTATTTAAAAACAATAGTGTTAAAAATATAGTACGGTATTAAGTACAACATAAACATGTTTACTCTGTTGCCATATATCTAATATTAACTGTAAAAAATGATTTAACCTATAAATTCATTGATAGAGCAAATGCTATTATTAATAGTATGCATATTAAACTTATAATTTATATGTATTTAAAGTAGTGTTATTGCATTTTTAAAGATGATAATCCACTTCAGTTCAAATATAGTCAGATTCACCATACATAGCCTACACTTTTTTTTTTTTTTTTAATGTATTTGTAAGTGAAATGGACACAGATAGATTTTCTCTGTGATGGGGCATAAAAGCTGATTGGTTGTTGGAGTGGTAATAACATTGATTCATGATGCACAGGTGCCTCTACCTCCCTCCCCTTTCTGTCTCTCCCTTCCTCTCTCAGCATCCTTCATTTCATCACTGTCCTTGGGTGTGTATAGCAGTGTCTGACATTCTGCTGCTGAGGACTGTGTGTGTGTGTGTGTGTGTGTGTGTGTGTGTGTGTGTGTGTGTGTGTGAGTGAGTGTGTGTACACGCAGAGTAGCCCAATGACGTTGTAAATTTGTGCTCATCCAGGAACAGAAGTCCTCCAGCAGCATCCCGTGAGCAGGGCAAAGGAGCAGTATGTCAGCCCATCCCAGCAGCTGAGCTTTGCTGTGGGATACGCAACTACATAGAGGTGAGTCTGTTTATCCATCTTTCTTTTTCCATCCTGTCCTCCTTCCATCCATTTGTCTTAATGAAATATTCATGATTTACAGCCTCTGTCCTGATTGTCATCTGCAGCTCTTATAGCAGAGGTGAGCTAGGTTAATGCTTTCTATAAAGAATGTAAGTACTTCTTTTCACGTTTTTCTTGATCAGGCATTGTGTGTTTCGAATGCAAGGTTATGCATCTCTGCATAGTCAAGGAAATGTTGATGAGCATGTACCATTTCTGTTGTTTTAGGCCTGCAGTGAAAGTAAGCTTTTATTTGCTGATATGTGCACACAGGTCAGATTCGTCCCCTCCCATCTCCATATCGATTTGTTTGCTATTGCCATTCCCTGCCTGTCAGCTACTTAGCAGCCCTACCCCCCCTAATTCTTATGGGATAATGTGTGTGGGGGCAGTTTTATGGCCATTAGCTTCATATCTCCATCACAGTGAGATGACTTCTGAAAGTGAGGCCCTTATAGTCATATAGACAGTGTCAGTGGCCTAGACAATCAGATTACAGTGATTTCTTATCAAATTGTAGTCCTGTCTTGTGTTTATTCTGTATTTAGTGACTGTTTAGCCCCCAAAAAGGAGCCAAAGCTGTCACTGGAGCAGTATCATTTCACAAGGTAACTTTACGGTACTAATAGGTACCTTTTAGGGGTAAATAAGGCATGAAAGTGACAGCTTTTTTACCTTTTTTTTTCTGAGCGTGTAAAGAGGCCTTGGTTAATGGATCAGAGGTTTGAACTTAACCACGGGGGAGGTGAACCTTTTTCAACTATCTCTCCTAATCACAATTCCTCTCTACACACTATTTCATCACTGTAAAAATGCTGTTAAAAGTTATTTGGTTAAAAACTATAATAGAGCTAATTGGGCATTTTGTGTAATTTTACAGCAAACTACTACAGATAAATACAGTTTTTGGAAGTGAAAAACAAGAAAGATTTCCATTGAAATAACAGTTTCTACTTATTTTCTTATCAATTGTGTACATTAGGGTTTTATATTACATTTTATTTTGTTAAATAAGGATTATTGCTTTATTTTAGTGTTGTTTAATGTTTGTTACCATGATGGTGTTTTGTATTTGTGTGCATGACACTGTGTGCACCTTCTATGTATTATTTACCTCAGCTTGTGGAAGACCTACTTGTGATTAGCTTTATTTTTATATCTTCTTATAGCTTATTTTTAAAGGTGGTTGTCAGTATATTGTGAAGTTAAATCATAATTAAGTAATATCTTATAACATTATTTTAGTTTATGAAATATAAGGGTTTTTTACTGTAAATTTAATTTCATTCTGTAAAACTTAAAATGTTCTAGGCAACCACAGCTGCCTTTTTAATACCATAAAATTCACAGTTTTTTTCTTTAACAGTGAAAATACAGATAAACAAAAATGTGCAGATCAGCCAGATAGATAGATAGATAGATAGATAGATAGGGCAGCAGATGGCACAGTGGCCTGTTGCCTGGACACTGTGTATGTGGCAGCCAAATCCAACCTGGCTAACTGGTCAGTGCCATTTATGTGTGTGTGTGTGTGTGTGTGTGTGTGTGTGTGTGTGTGTGTGTGTGTGTGTGTGTGTGTGTGTGTGTG